CTCTCTGATCCAGGGGATACAGAATAACCTACCACCTATTATTCAAAGTACCCTTGGAAATTAAAGTATGTTGTCTTTAATTTTCTAGAATTGCCTAAATATTGATTTCTCTACAAAGCTGTGGAGGCTTAATGGTTTTATAGTGTGTTTTTCTCTTTTACTGTTTCTTTGGTGTGTTTTAACAGTATTTCTGAGTTCTTAACAGTTTTCTAGGTGATAGTAGATTCTTTTGTGTCCGACACTGTGGTGAGTTGTTTTTGAGATTTGTAAGATTTCTTTGAGAACTGATAATCAAGCTCTTGATCTGTTTCCTTAAATTATTTTTATTAAGAGCCCAAACCCAGATTCAGGGTGAGGGTTTGTAATACAAAGAAAAACTTTCATCACTTCTGCCCTTAACACTTGCCTTTATTAACTAAGTTTAGTATGTAGTTTTTTAAAATATTGTCCAATGTTTGGTGTGTCTGCATTGTTTTGTGGTTATTCTTGATGTGTGAAATTTAGGGAAAGAGCCATTTAAAAAATGCCACGCAGGGCAATGCAAGTACAGCCAAATATTAGAGTTGATGTGCAATCTTAGGTTCTTTTAACTCTGGGGTGTTATAGGTAGTACTTTAAGCTGAAAAGTCTTCCTGGCCTATTTTCCTCCACATATTTGTGACTTCTCTGGGGGCTTACTTGTTTTGGCAGTAAGAAGCTGGTCCTTTTCTCACAATTCTTTTCATATTAAAGAAAAACACCTAGAATTGGCCTGTTGGTCCTTTCTTCTTACATCAAAAATCAGTGAATGCTTTTCTATTAGCACATTTAAATACCTTTTACATAAAATTAGATGCATTTGAAACCAGTGACCTTTGTACTCTTCCTGAGCTCGTAAAATGCCAGTAATTTAAAGCTAGAACTACCCCAATCCTCCCTTAAATCAAGGAGGGTAGGACATAGTAAAGTTCACTCAAACAAGATAGATGTTTTCATTTTCGTTATTAGGTTCCTCCTATGGGGAAAAACTAGCATTACAAGGTTTCCCAAACATGGGGAAGGGGAAATTCAGTTTTTTGACCCTTAGGGGTTTGCTGCACTTTTCTTTTTAGGCCTGGGTAACAATATCACCATGCCTTCCTTCCGATGGGCAAATGCACTCTTAGAGCAACTTTCTAGGTTCAAGGGTTAATTGTACAACATGAACTGTTCAGAGTCTTTTACTTTCTGTGGGAATTTGGGCTTAGTAAGGAAAAGCTGTTGTTTGTGCTAATGTAAAAATGTCATACAGTTAGCTCTACTTTTGAAGACGGTAAACAAGGAATTGCATGTTGTTCTGAAATACAGACTTGTAGAATGTTTTCTTTCTTTAAAACAGGCTGATTTCTTCCCTCTTCCCCTTTTCCTGATATCCCAGTTTCAGTTATTTTTCTGGCTTAAATTTCCCTTATCTCCACCTGTAATGTCAGTGGCAACATCATACTTGTTAATTTACTTTACCCTTATAAGAGCCAATTGAGTTTAACTGAATCTTCCTTGTCCTAGTAAACATTGTATAAATTAAAGTGGCTTCTCTGTACAAAAGGTTGTAATGCCTCCTGATGGGTATAATTTTGTGATTGTATTTAAGATTAAAAGTGGAACAAATCACACCAGCTTCCTGAAAATGTTCATAATGCATTGTTTGGAAAACAAAAATACATGCCTACTTTGTGCATATTTGCGTTACCATGGCAAAGATTGTATGAAATACCTGTTTTTCAAAAAATAAAAATGAAAAAGATGTAGCATTTAAGCTCTGAATTTATTGGTTGAAATAGTTTCCAGGAAACTTAATTTTGCAATATGGGTAGCTTTTTTTCTTAATAGTATATATTGATTTCAGAGAGGAAGGGAGAGGGAGAAGAAATAGAAACATCAGTGATGAGAATCACTGGTTGGCTGCCTCTTGCACACCCCCCACTGGGGATCGAGCCCATAACTGGGAATGTGTCCCGACCAGGAATTGAACGGTGACCTCCGGGTTCATAGGTCCATTCTCAACCACTGAGTACACCAGGCAGGCAGGTAGCTTCTTTTAAAGCATGAATATCTCTAGAAATTAATTTTTTTCCCGCCCTTCAAAGTTCTATAGTATTTTTGAACAGCAGTGGAAATTTTACTTCAGTGGGAAAGGTCTTAACAAGATACAATTAAGCTTAATTTTGTCAATATTTAAACACAAATCTATAGCCTAGCTGGTTTGGCTCCGTGGTAAGAGCGTCAGCCCGTGGACTGAAGGGTTGCAAGTTTCATTAGGTCAGGGGCACGTACGTGTGTTCAAAGTACCCTGGCCCTGGTTGCGGTGCACGCGGGAGGCAAACCAATTGATGTCTCTCTCACCAAGATGTTTGTCTTCCCCCTCTAAAAAAATCAATGGGAAAATTATCTTAAGGTGAGGCTCAACAATGAAAATCACTAAGCTGAAACTGGTTTGGCCTCAGTGAACAGAGCTTGTGGACTGAACGGTCCCAGGTTCGATTCCTGTCAAGAGCATGTACCTTGCCGGGACCGGTTTGGCTCAATGGATAGAATGTCGGCTTGGGGACTGGAGGGTCCCGGGTTCGATTCCGGTCAAGGGCATGTACCTTGGTTGCGGGCATATCCCCAGTGGGGGGTGTGCAAGAGGCAGCTGATCGATGACTCATCGATGTTTCTAACTCTCTCCCTTCCTCTCTGTATAAAATCAATAAAATAAAATTAAAAAAAAAAAAGAGCATGTACCTTGGTTGTGGGTACATCCCCAGTGGGGGTGTGCAGGAGGCAGCTGATGTTTTTCTCTCATCGATGTTTCTAACTATCCCTCTCCCTTCCTCTCTGTAAAAAATCAATAACATTTTTTAAAATCATTGTTGTGAACATTCCCTGGGATATGAAAGCCTGAAGGAAAATTTTAATGTCCGGCTTGTTTTATTCTCTGGAAGTCAGACTGCATTTGTTGCCACTAGGTAGTGTTAGCTGTTTAGTCATCTGGCACGTTTTGAAAGATCACATCCTGTTTTTGCAGTACAAAAACAAAGCTGCACTAAGGGTAGGTGTTTTTGTAATTAAGCCGTTTGGAAAGTTGAGAGACCTTATAGCAGTGCTCATGGGCTGTGAAGTTGCAAATAGCTCTGGGAACACACTCCTCCAGGAACAAAATACTCCTGAAGAACCCGTTGCTGCCTGAGCTGCTCCCATTGTTTTCACCTACCCAATTTCACAAGTTGTGTTGAAGAGTCTTAAGTTGTACATAAGGAAATGGGTGAAAACCAGAAGTAGTTACCAAAGTAGAAATGGGTTATTTCTTGTTTTTGTTTTTTTAGAAATGTCACTTTCTAAAGCCTAATAACGCCTCTTGTTTAGAAGTGGGTGTTACTGTTCCTCTAGCAAAATGTTGCACTGGGTGCTGAATATAATTATTGAGACTATTGCCTGATTTTCTTTTGAAGAGGGAGGGGAGGGCCTTGCTCTCAAACTTCATAGCTTTTAAAAATCTCCCAAAATGGGCTCTCTAGATCAGCTCGGTGCATCTTACCTACATTTCCCATCTCCCACCCAATAACAGTCCCCAAAATAGCACTTTATTAGGGTCCCTTTCCCTTACAAAGGCTTCCCTCCCACCCCATCGAGTGTTTACATCTGAGCCAGATGATTTCCAAAGATCCTAACCTTTCTTGCAATACATAATGCTTCTGTCCGCCTGGCTTTCTGTCCTCCGTCACTACATCCTCTCACATTTCTTTATGCCTCCTCCGAACTTTTAAAAGAACCTCGTACTTATCTACATGTTTTAAAACATTTAAATTCGATAGCGTAATGCAGAATAAAAGGATAAAAAGCTGTAAGTCAAAACGCTTGGTAAGATTTCCTAAAACAGACACCTGACCAGATCAACATTTGGCATGAGTTTGTTTGAATGATGAAAACCAAAGCGCTTGTTACTTCATTTTGAAATCCGGGAGAAGACGTAGAAGTGCCTCAAACGTTCACCCAGTTCCTAAATTGCTTAAGAATCCCACTGCTGCCAAAACCGGTCTGGCTCAATGGATAGAGCATCATCCTAAGGATTGAAGGGTCCTGGGTTTGATTCCGGTCAAGGGCATGTACCTTGGTTGCGGGCACATCCCCAGTAGGGGGCGCGCACGAGGCAGCTGATCGATGTTTCTCATCCATGTTTCTAACTCTACCTCTCCCTTCATCTCTGTAAAAAAATCAATAAAATGTTTTTTTTTTAAATCCCACTGCTTATGAGGTTTCCGTCTTAAGAAGGTTGTCAAAATCAGCACTTTTGAAGAGGGAGGTCAAGTGCCCCACTAAGACCCCATAAGCCGGCTTTTATAAAGCGGTGCATTTTCCACGAGTTCTCAAGCCAAGACCAGATTACCTCTGCCCTCCCCGTACCAAGCCAAAACCCTCTTCGAATGGGAAGGAACAATGCGGAAGATCTAGCTAACACTTCAGTGGTGGGCACGGGTCTCGAGTCACAAGCCTGGGCTGAGCCTGGGCTTGGCCGGGGCGGCGGACGCCAGGACTAGAGAGGGCAGGGCCCCGAAGGCAGGGCCCCCGGCCGGGTTGGGAAGAGGAGCCCGGCCAGTGCGCCCCTCCATCGTCCGAGGTTAGGGAAAACATGCCCTCCTCCGCCTGACACTTGCGCGGCTTATTTCTTCGAGAACTATACGTCTCAGCCTCCTGAGCTGCTCTGAGGTTCAGCAGAAGGTCCGCGTCAACCGGCGGCGGCGCCCATCCAGGAGCCACTACCGCGGCCCGGCGTAGGCAGGAGCCGTTCAACCGCTTCCCGCAGGCCTGCGCGGGGCAGCGCAGCCCTCCCGGGCGCTGATTGGCCGCCCGGTGTCCCCGCCCCCTCGGCCCTGCTCAGCGCCTCGCTCTCCTTTGACCTCGATTTCAAGCCAAGCGCTGGGCAGCGGTTGGTCCGCCTCCCCCTCAGCTTGAGTTCGACTCGTCCAATGAGGAGCGAGCTTCGCGGGGAATGTCGGGAAAGGCCGCCGGCCTATATAAGGGGTTTACTGGGCGTGTCGCCGCGCCGGGGTCGCCGTGCGGATCCGGGACGGAGGCTGGTGCGGAGGTGGCTGTGGGCTCGCTGAAGCGGCACCTGGGAGACGATGGCCGAGGGAGATAATCGCAGCACCAACTTGCTGGTGAGTGCCGGCGTCCGTCACAAGGGAAACAGGTGGGCTCGGCCCGGCGGTGCTTCGGACTCGTGTTTCTACCCCGCGGCGGCCCGGCCCTCCTCCCCGGCGCCGGCCACAACGACTGCGCCTCGGGCTTCTCGGGTAGCTTCTGCTTGGCGGTGTCTGGTCCTGCCGACCCCTGACATCCTCTGGGGAAGGGGAAGAGGAGGGTGCGCCATCAGGCATCGCAAATACGGGATGAGGAAGAAGAAGGGGGGGGTGCTGTGGCAAGCCTGGGGTGCAGCCTCAGGCAGAGAGAGGGCCTCCAGGGGCCTGGCGAGAGCTTTTGGGGCCTAGCACCCAGCTGTGTCGGTTCGCTCCGCTTGGATCGTCACCAGGATGCCCCTTGGTTCTTTTGTTCCCCCTCCACCCCCCATGCTTGGGCAATGGGAGGAGAGTCAAAGGGCTGTTACTGAACATTTTCTGGTAGAGCTGAAAATTTCTGGCAGAGTGGCAGCGAGCTCACCGCAGAGAAGTTGGGGGGATTGAGGGTCCCGCTGGAAGGACAGTGGGAGGAGAGGACCAGGCGTTTGTCTGGAATGTGAGCTGGGGTCCGAAGGGGCTGGAGTGAGGTGTTGGCAGAGGCAGACACATGTACCCTCACCGTGGGTCTCAGGGCGGCACGCTGTGATCAACGAGAGGAACCGGTGCATTTTCTCCCTTTCCTTTCCCCAGGGAAAGGCAGGCCACACACAACAACCACAGTGACTAGAAGGAGCAAATAATTTAATAATTTTTGGCTTTTGATTCCAATAGCCCAGGTGCTGTAAAAGATTAAGAGACTTTGCAGGGTAGTTTGTGTGTGCATTTGTGTTTTCGAAATGCATGACCACACACACACACACACACACACACACACACACACCCCTCTACCTCCTTCCCTCCCTCTATAGTTAGCCCCTGCCAGGTTCCTTTTAAGAGGATTGATCAAAGCCGAGAGTTGCCAGAATTCAAACCGCTATTGAAATGACAGGCCCTGGACTGGAGCTCAAATACTCTTTCCAGCAGAGCAGTGTGTAACTTCAAGGACAAAACGTTTTGCCACTTCACATTAGCTCATTCTAGATTGTTCTCATAAGTTTAAGCAGCACTGTAGAAGTTACATACATTTATAATTTGGTAAAAGTAGTTTTCCTTATTTGTGCAAATGATGTCAACATCTAAATGATTCCATTACACAAAGAGCTACTACTTGAGAATTTTATTGAGTGCTGTTCAGGGAAAGGCTGCTATCCTAATGGATTTAGAAATTGGGGTTTAAATCGATGAAATGACAAAACAGCAAATCAATACTAACCACCTGAAATGATCGAATGTAAAGATCTAATTTTATACTGTGGGTACTGTGCTTGGTAGTGCATGACTTTGGGAAAGTTGGTTAATAATTCTTTAATGTAAAATGGGTCTTAATTATCTCTACCTTATAATTGATTTGGAAAGTGACCATTAAGTGATTTTCTCCACCCCCTCTCCACTGATTTTTGTCATTGGCACCAAAATTGTAGTTTAAAAAAAAAACAAACTAATTTGTTTCACATAGTGATTTGGTTAACAGCTGTTTTATATATTTGATGTCTTAGAGGAGTTTAATTCTCTAGGACTAATTCTCAGAAATGTTGAGCGTAGTAAATGATGGCTTTAAATATTGGTCGTGTGTAGGCTGCAGAGACTGCAAGTCTGGAAGAGCAGCTGCAAGGATGGGGAGAGGTGATGCTGATGGCGGACAAAGTCCTCCGATGGGAACGAGCCTGGTTTCCACCTGCCATCATGGGTGTGGTTTCCCTGGTGTTTCTGTAAGTGAGCTATTCAGTTACTTAAGATGGTGTTTGTTATTAATAAGGAATCGGGTAATACACAGCTTCCATTCTGGAAGTGTCTTTGTAATGCCTAATCCGTAAAGAGAGCAGTTTGCCCAGTGTTTAGGATTTGTAGTACTTTGTGAACTCAGTAACATAATGCAGTTGAATAAATCAGAGACTCAAACGGTTTGGCCTTAGAACCCTTCACACTCCTACAAAGTATGGAAGAGCACTGAGGCCTTACTCTCTTGGAATTTACAGTGCAGCTATAATGCCTTCATGTCATGAAGCTTCCAGAAAACAACTTGTGAGATAATTAGAATGAAAAGGGCAAATAACATCTGTGCGAACCAGAGGGATAAGTTAATAAACATCTTCATGTAGGAAAAGGGACCATATTTTTCTAACCTTCATTAATTTTTTTTTTTTTAAACAGGAATATCTATTATCTAGATCCATCTGTTCTATCTGGTGTTTCCTGTTTTGTTATGTTTTTGTGCTTGGCTGACTACCTTGTTCCTATCCTGGCGCCTAGAATTTTTGGCTCCAATAAATGGTAAGTAGCATGATAATTTGGCATTCTAATCTCTGAGAAATTACCCTGTTGGCTGTGATTAGTATTCTGTAACTAATCACAGAGAAGTGTCTAACCATCAGATACCTAGAGGTTAGATTTAGTGGTTTTTATATGAAGATTTTTTTTTTTTAGCTCATTCATATATAAATAATTAGTTCCCAGTACTTATTTAGAAACCTAGTGCATGAAATTGGTGCATGGGTGGGTCCTTAGGCCTGGCTGGCGATCAGGGCTGATCTGTGGGGTGACCAGTGGGGTGATGAGGGCCCCAGCTCACACCTGCCTTGGCTGGCCTGGCACAGCTCCCCATCACTGCAGCTGGTTGGGGCCTGTGTCCTGGGGGCAGCACTGGGGTATGCCCCTATGGTGGTCGGTGTGCGTCATAGTGACTGGACGTTCCTCTGGTCATCCTGCTGTTCAGTCAATTGGCATATTAAGTTTTATATAGATAGATAGGTCTTTTGTGGTCTGACATTTATTTTGGCTTTTTAAATATATTATTATTATTATTTTTTACAGAGAGGAAGAGGGAGAGTTAGAAACATCAATGAGAATCATCCATCAGCTGCCTCTTGCACACCCCTTACTGGGGATGTGCCCGCAACCAAGGTACATGTCCTTGACCGGAATCGAACCCGGGACCTTTCAGTTTCAGTCCCTGACGCTCTATCCACTGAGCCAAAAACGGTTTCGGCTAGTTTGATTTTTTAAAAGACCTTTTTATTGAAGTGAGAGGGGGCTTTTTTAGGTAAATATTTTAATTAAAATATTTTGTCAAGGATTGTAGAACTCATGAGCTTTGCGTAAAAGTAGTATCTTGACATTTTATATTTGTTCCCATTGATATTTAAGATAGTACTATATAATTTCACAAGTTATTTTTGAATGAATACAAAAACAGTAACTGGTAAATTTTTGTCCATTCATTTAGCAACTATTGAATGTCTACTTTTTTTGTTAGGCACTGTTCTGGATGCTATGAAATATTTTTAAGATTGGTCTTGTGTTTAAGGTTGAGATGTTGAGGCAGTGAAGTGGTAGTTAGCTTAATGCCTAGCAATTATTTCAGAGTAGGTTCAAGTTGTATATACGAAGTAGGCTGTTAATCTCATTTATACCATTCTTTGAATTAGTCACTGAGTTCCCAAGATATATATTGCTATGTGGCTAGGGATCATATTAAAGAATTTCTCCGAAACTGGTTTGGCTCAGTGGATAGAGCGTCAGCCTGCGGACTGAAAGGTCCCAGGTTCGATTCCAGTCAAAGACATGTACCTTGGTTGCGGGCATATCCCTGGTAGAGGGTGTGCAAGAGGCAGGTGATAGATGATTCTCTCTCATCGATGTTTCTAACTCTATCCCTCTCCCTCTCTGTAAAAAATCAATAAAATATATTTTTTTTAAAAAAAGAATTTCAACATCTCTCTGTGATGTTCAGTTCTCACTTTTTTTTTTCTTTTTCTTTTTTTTCCCGTGTTTGAGAGAGTTTATCTGCACCTCCCCTCCCCGGTGCCAGAGCCTCCGGGGCAGTTCTCACTTTTAAAAATATGTATTTTGTTTGTTTGTTTGTTTCAGAGAGGAAGGGAGAGGGAGAGAGAAAAACATTAATGATGAAAAAATCATCAATTAACCCTTGACCTGAATCAAGCCTGGGACCCTTCAGTCCACAGGTCGATGCTCCATCCACTGAGCCAACCAGCAAGGGCCAATTCTCACTTTTGACCACAATAATGAGCAAAATAGACATTGGAATATATTTTTTTCCTCCTAGCCACTATTCTCCCTCCGTTGTTTATTTTAATTTGATTAGTAGTCGACTTGTGCTTTTAGCTTTTTGTTCCCCAAGTAATAGCAAATTATTAAATAATTTGCAAAAGGAAAAATTTTAAATGTAAGCCCTTGAGTTTTTTGAGAAAAATTCAGACATTTTTTAGGAAGTTTGCTTAAGTTATGGAATAATTATGTTTATTTAAAGATGTTTTCCCATAGCAGAATGGATGAAGATTAGGAAGTGTCCTTTGAATTTAATTGTTTTTCACATTCAGTAGTGAATTATACTATTGTGTTTTGGGCAAGTTTGTAACAGTGCTGTATAAAAATTTAACAAGTGAAATCAGCTTCTGACCTTGACTTTATCAGCCAGATGGTATTTTAATCTGCTAATTCCTAATTCCGGGAGAAGAGTTTTTGGAAATAAACACTGAGTTTCATGGTAAATCAGTTCGTGGCTCTGTCTTATCAACAGAGCAGTGTTATTGTTTGATCTTTAAGGGAAGGAAGAACACTACTGCATGACCACAGTCCAGCCTTGAACATGGGCAACACATAAGGTTGAAATTGTTTACCAGAAGTCCCAGGGCTCAGCAGAAATCCTCCTACTGTATCTCTTACTGCAGTTCCCGGGATGGGAGCTAGAGGAGAGAAGATAATACATCCCCCAGCTTAGGGCCTGCTGTTTTGTTGTTAATCCTCACCTGAGGATGTTTTCTATTGCTTTTAAGAGAGGATGGAGGGAGGGAGGGAGGAGGAAGGGAAGGGGGAGAAGAGAGAGAGAGATGTGAGTGATACACATAGACTGATTGTCTCCTGCATGTGCCCCTAATAGAGCCAGGGATTGAACCTGCAACCAAGATACATGCCCTTGATTAGGAAATTGAACCCAAGACTCTTTGATGTTCTAACCATTGACCCACACCAGCCAAGGCAGACCTGCTTTTTAATAGTAGCCATTGTATCTGTATAATAAAGACAGTACAATGGCAATTTTTTTGTTTTGTTTTTGTTAATCCTCACTTGAGGATTTTTTCCATTGATTTTTAGAGTAGAAGGGAGAGGGAGAGATAAAGAGAGAAACATTGATATGAGAGAGAGATATTGCTTGGTTTCCTCCCACACAAGCCCTGACCAGGGATTGAGACTGCAGCCAAGGTCCATGCCCTTGACCAGAATTGAAGCCAGGACCCTTCAGGCCTTGGGCTGACGCTCTATTCACTGAGCCTGACCTGGCAGTTTTACATAGTAAATAAAAAGGCTTTCTTGCCAAAACTGGTTTGGCCTGCTGATTGAAAGGTCCTGGCTTCAATTCCGGTCAAGGGCTTGTACCTTGGTTGCGGGCACATCCCCAGTAGGGGGTGTGCAGGAGGCAGCTGATCCATGTTTCTCTCTCATCTATGTTTCTAACTCTATCCCTCTCCCTTCCTCTCTGTAAAAATCAATAAAATATATTTAAAGGAGGGGGGGGCTTTCTTGGAGGATCTTTTTGATTTTTACTGCTGTTTTATGATTATATTATCCCCCAGTGGGACTAAACTTACATTTGAGTTGTGTGTGGCTGCCCTGGCATCAAGTGTATGAAGCCAAGTTGAAGTATTATGCTGTGAATGCTGGTAGTTATCATCTCACTGAAAAGTGCTCAAATACAATTGTTTGGTAGAAACTTTACATCTTCCTCAAAACAAAGGGATTCTACTGGGCTACAACCTAGGATTCACTAGGATCTGGAAAACAATAAAGAATAGAGAAATTAATTTGCACCATAGGCCATAATTTCTGCACAGCCTATAGTAGTTTCTTTGTCATTAACCAAATGTGGCTTTAGAACCAGAGAGTACCATTACTTTGTACATGCACATGTGTAAGTATGTTTATATAAAAACTTATTCCTGTGCTATCCAAGGTGGGTGTTTTTTTTTTTTAATTTTCTAAAGTTTTACATATGTCTCCTCAGAGGTGTTTTAATGGTACAAAAACTTTTCACCTTTATAAGTAATGAGGAATCGTTTTCTATTTAGGTTTTCTTTAGAAGATAGCTTTTTAAATATGAGAGGATAGTGTATTTCTGTTTACTATAGAGATATGCTTATAGTGAAGGGGAAATTCTTTTTCTAGGACCACTGAGCAGCAGCAAAGATTCCATGAAATTTGCAGCAATCTAGTAAAAACTCGTCGCAGAACTGTGGGCTGGTGGAAACGCCTCTTCACACTGAAGGAAGAAAAGCCGAAAATGGTACTTTTTTTGTTTTGACTTATTCAAGTAAAGCAAAATTTTAAGGTTGAGTCGTTTTTACTTCAGTGTAATATAATGATAGCCTTTTTGTTTGAATAGTTATAGTTTGATATTTATCATCCATTGCTTTAATTTCTTTTGAGTGTATTCATGAATGCATGTCTGTATGAGACTGAGTCACTACAAGTTAAAATTACATTTTACACTTAATTTGTATTCTAGTAGAGTGGAGTCTTTCTTTTTCATACTGAAAAAAAAATAAGAGACATATATTTAGAAAGCATTTATTTTCTATTTTTAAAATTTATTTATTGATCCCTGGCCACTTTAGCTCAGTGGATAGAGTGTCGGCCTGTGGACCGAAGGGTCTTGGGTTCAATTCCAGTTGAGGGCACATACCTAGGTTGTGGGCTTGATCCCCAGTAGGGGCATGTGGTGGGTAGCTGATCAATGATTCTCATCATTGATGCTTCTATCTCTCCTGTTTCCTTCCTTGCTGAAATCAATAAAAATATGTATTTTTTATAGCTAAGATTTTTTTTTTAATATATTTTATTGATTTTGTACAGAGAGGAAGGGAGAGAGATAGAGAGTTAGAAACATCGATGAGAGAGAGTCATCGATCAGTTGCCTCTTGCACACCCCCTACTGGGGATATGCCCGCAACCAAGGTACATGCCCTTGACCGGAATCGAACCCGGGTCCCTTCAGTCCCCAAGCCGACGCTCTATCCATTGAGCTAAACCGGTCCCAGCAAAAATATGTATTTTTTAAAAAAGCCCTAGCTTATTTGGCTCAGTGGATAGAGCATCAGTCTGCGGACTGAAATGTCCCGGGTTCAATTCGTCAAGGGCACATGCCCGGGTTGCTGGCTTGATCCCCAGTAAGAGGCGTGCAGGAGGCAGCCAATCAATTATTTATGCATTCATTGCTTGACTCTTATATGTACTCTGTCGGGATTGAACCCATAACCTTGGAGTACCGGCATGATACTAACCAACTGAGTACCTAGCCAGGGCTAGCATTTGTTTTCTTAATTCAGCTTCATATAAGGTTACTATGTGAAATTACTAATTGTAAAAGTTGTATCATTTATATTCTAAAGTATTTAATTTAAATATAGAATTACAATAGGTCTATGATGGATCCAAATTCTATAAAGCCAGATGTAATGGAGTTTTCTGTTTGTGTGTGGAGGTGGGGGTGGGGAGAGTTAATATGTTTTTATTGATATCAGAGAGCAAGGGAGAGATAGAAACATAAATGATGAGAGAGAATCATTGATCAGCTGCTTCTTGCACGCCCATCCTGCACTGGGGATTGAGCCCGTAACCCAACCCTGGGAATCAAACCATGACCTCCTGGTTCCTAGGTCGATGCTCAACCACTGAGCCACACCAGCCAGGCTCTGTAGTTTTATATACTATATATAGATACCAACCATTTTTAAAGAGAAGTGGTAATAAAAACAATCATTTTCCAACCTTTAAAATGACTTTATTAGTCTGTTTCTAGGAGTTGACACATCTTATTATTTTCATTATTAGTACTTCATGACCATGATCATGTCTCTTGCTGCCGTTGCTTGGGTGGGACAGCAGGTCCACAACCTTCTTCTCACCTACCTGATCGGTAAGTCTTCGAGGACACAGGCACGTTCTGGGCAACGAAGTCTAACGAACTTAGACAAATGTGTGTGCTCAGCAAGTTTAAGGCACTCATCAAGGACTGTGGGAGTCTAGAAAAAGGTCTAAAACCCAGGTCCTTGTTTGTGGTCTTGTAGGAAGTTAAAACAACATAATGACCAGGTAGGAAGAAATGCACAGGAGGTAAAAGGGAGCAGTGTGTGTCATCTGAGGTTGGGAGGGATAGCGAAGTTTCTGGGTTATTAATAGAAGTAATGGATTTCATATTGCTTCTTCCCAGTAGAATGCCTAATAGTTCAGGAAACTACCTTCTCTATAATGTATTAACATTTAGGAAATGAATTATTGCCTCCTTAACTTGGTTTGTTTGTTTATTTTTAAGTGACTTTCTTACTGTTGCTTCCTGGACTAAACCAACATGGAATCATTTCGAAGTACATTGGAATGGCCAAAAGAGAGATGAACAAGCTTCTTAAGCAAAAAGAAAAGAAAAATGAGTAAGGCATCTTCTTTATTCAGTGTGGTTAATGGAGTATACATTGTGTGGGAACAGTTTCTATTGCCTGGATACTGAAGTGTTACAGAGTAGCTCTTTGCTCTCACGCCTTCTGCCCTTAGTTACTAGAAATTCAGATTTGCCACACAAGGTTTTGTACAGTGTCTTCATGTCAAGTGTATCTGGGTGCATTCTCAGCAGTTGGCCTTATGGACAACTCATGAATACAACTTGTTTTGATTTTTCTCACGCAGGGTTAATTGATTTCTCACTTATAGGCAGCTTCCTTTAAAATTATACAGCTATGAACTTTAATTGTTAGTACAGTTAACAAATGGCTCTGGATAATTGTTCAAGTTGATCTTTGTTTTGGCTAGATACAAGGTATAGTGAGTGGCCTGTGGCTATAGGAAGCTGGTTGTACCAGCTCCTTCCCAGTCTGCTTAAAAAAATGTCCAGCTTCAAGAATATAGAGACTTGAGGGCATATGCTGGGGGTTGAGGGTGGCCAGGGAGAAAAAGGAGACATATGGAATACTTTAAACAATAAAAAAGGAACAGGGAAAGAAAGAAAGGAAAAAAAAAAGAATATAGAGATCAAGTTTACTACTTCAATGAAGAGACCATTTCTGTTTCTATACCAGGGAGAAGCATCCTCATGAAATAAAATGAAACTAATACATGCTCTAGTTTGTGTTGGTTTCTCCCTTGTGCAAAACTGAGCAACTGATCCTCTGTAATGGGGAGCCTGACAGTTCAAGAGCTCTTGTCCCATTGCACTTAGCTTTCAAGTTAGTAGGTCCTAAAGGCTTTTCAGTAGCAGACTTCCAAAAGCTTGAACTTGGGATTTTTAGCATACTTTTAGTTTCAGATTGTCAGCTGTCTAAAACTAAAGTACATAAGAGATGAAGACTCGTGCCTATGACTTTTACTCTTAAGACCAGCTAATAAAGGACAAAAGTCTTCTTTCTGTGTTTCATCAAGAGTCAGTAGAAAGTAATTTTCTCCCACTCATTTTTCAATTCTCATTTTATGGTAATATTGGCTGCTTGGTCCCCATAGATTTGGTCTAGAAGGTGCCATTCTACTGGCATCTGACTTTTTTTCCTAGATATTTCTCAAAAAATTATAAGGGCTGTTGGTGAGAGCAAACTTGTGTAGATGATATATGTCCTTAGGTCTATAACAATGTTCTAACTCTTAGAAAGTGTTTTAGAATTATTTTCCCTCTCAGTAGCTAGATGTTTAAAGTAGTGGAAATCTGTGGAATGAACCTTTTAAGGGCCGAAAATGTGACATACTTGGAAAAATTCTTTAACTCTGATTAACTAGCTGTAATATAGTTCTGTGAATTTATTGCACTGATGCTGTAAAACCTGGATCTTGTGGTATATCTGTCTCTAAATAAGTGTTGTTTTCTCCCCTTCAATATTGTCAACAGTGCAACCATGTAGCATATGTTTGAGTTTTTTGTTTCATATGAAAACTACAAGCTACCTTAATTTACATGTATTTCCTCATTGTAAATAAGCCTGTCCTCTTATCTGGATTGTTTTGTGTGTACATGTTCTACCAACTACTTTTGTGATTTTAATTCTGTATTACTTCTTCTACTTGGTTTTGTGAAAAGGGGAAAAATAAAAGCTGGTATCCCTTTTTTGTGTCCTGTTTCTTTCTACCTTAGCCAGTACAATATTTACATGAGTGGATTTATGAATCTGACTAATGAACTACCCTTGCGTGATCAATACATGCCAATAAAGTACTCTTTAAGAACAAAATAAAAGGTTTAAATTTATTCATTCAGCAAACATCCAGGCAAAGTGCTGGATGCAAAAGGAAATGAATAAGTGATAACCAAAGATGATGTGTGAGAAGGCCAACCTGGGCGAACAGGCAGGAACAATGCAGGCTCAAGGGAGGGCCTGCCATGGGCACCTCTGTACCTCAGGGTACGTGAGTTAGTAAGTAGGCTAGGCGGTGGGTGACTTACCTGTACATGGAACTTTTTTATTTTTTTATTAGAGCTCAAATTGGATGTTTTATCATTGGACCTCACTGTCTACTTAGAGTATCCTGTGAACAGATTCAATCAAATTAAATTCTGAGGCCTACATCCACACCACCACCACCCTCCCCTCCCCCAAGGAAAATGTTTGGAGCCTCTTGGGGATTTATTGTAAATTCCAAACGGAAGTCTCAACACAAAATCACCATAGGTGGCTGCCTGATACTTGGAAATGCTGTATTTAGATATGCAGCTGTGATTGCATCTCAGGCTGGCCAGTCCACATTAGCTGGCTTTTTTCCCACGCCAGTCTGGCTACGCTTGTGCCAGTTCTGACCACAGCAAAAGTCCCGTTTTGACACTTGCCTTGGCATTACCTCCAGTGGTGGTCTTATCATTCCAGATTCACAAAATGTCCACAGGAGGCTATTTGGAGATAGTTGTGCTAAAAAGTAAAGATTTGGTAGTTTTGCCGAAACCGGTTTGGCTCAGTGGCAGAGCATCGGTCTGTGGACTGAAGGGTCCTGGTTTCGATTCCGGTCAAGGGCACGTACCTTGGTTGCGGGCACATCCCCGGTAGGGGGTGTGCAAGAGGCAGCTGGTCGATGTTTCTCTCTCATCAACGTTTCTAGCTCTCTGTCCCTCTCCCTTCCTCTCTGTAAAAAAAATATATATATATTTGGTAGTTTTTAGGACAGGTGCTTTAATGCCAGTTCATCTTCCGCACGGTTGCCATTTATTTAGCCTCACCTGAGGATATGTCTATTGACTTTAGAGAGAGGAAGGAAGAGAGAAATATCAGTGTGAGAGAAACATTGATTGGTTGCCTGCCTTATACACCCAACTGAGGATTGAACCTGCAACTAGGTATGTGCTCTGACCAGAAAAGGAGCCTGCAACCTATTGGTGTATGAGATGACTCTAACCAACAGCTACCCAGCCAGGTCCGGATGTTACTTAACAATCAGGTCGTGATTAATCCTATTTGAAGCCCTCAGCAAGTTTCAGTTTGCCTACAGCATAAATCACAAACTTGTAGTTTATACCTGGCCCTTCCCAATTCCAACCCAGCCATTCTGAGATTTTTGTCCATCTTTATTCCATGCCCTCCTCATTCTTGGAGCTGTTGTAAAGCTAGAATATCTGCTGCCTGTTCACCCTAACATTTTAGGGTTGGGTAGACCTAGATCCAAACCCACTTTTTTTTTTTCTTTTTGACTTTTAAAACTAAAAAAAGTTAAGATTGAGTCAATTTAAAATTGAACTACGTCTTCTCATTTGTGAAATGGGAATAATAGTATAGATATCATAGGGGCAGTATAAGACCCCATTTGTTTTGTGGATTCAATAATCTACAGGAAGCACTTAGTGGCAGTCACGAATTAGACATCGTTAGACTTCACAACACATCAAATTGCACTTCCTCTGTGAAAGCTTTAGCAACATCCCAGGCCACCTCAGCATTAACAAGCACTTCTTCATATGGGCAAACTACATGGCACATTGTGTGGTATTGTGCTGTTATTTAGACTGCTGTCTCTTAAGGCAGAAACATATTTTTGTCCCCTCACTACGTGGTACGTGATATTCTGATACTTAAGTGAATGGATGAATGAATTAAGTGTATAAAGAGATAGTGGATGTCGCTCTTTTTCTACTTATGATAAAGCTCTTAGTAAAGTGAATTTATTCCCTTCACTCCCTGCTATTGCTAAGGCTCTCAAGGTGAATTGCACATTTTTAGCAAACAAAGCCTGTAAGTGCCGGGGAACCAGTTCTTCAAGGAAACGTTCATTTAAAAAGCAAATGGTCCTTTTGTAATATATAATTAACCGGAGAATTCTATATCCCTGAGATCTCCAAATTGGGAGCTTTGCTTTCCTGCGGCTCACTTAGGATTTGAGAAGTGGGGGTGTGTTAGAAGCTTTATACTAATGAATGCTAATGTTGATAAGCACTCTCTCTGCCAGATTTTGTATTAATTTCTTTTTTAAAAATATATTTTATTGATTTTTTACAGAGAGAAAGAGAGAGGGATAGTTAGAAACACTGATCAGCTGTCCCCTGCACACCCCTCACCGGGGATGTGCCCGCAACCAAGGCACATTCCCCTGACCTTTCAGTCCATAGGCTGACACTATTCACTGAGCCAAACCGTTTTCGGCATGTGTTAATTTCTTTAATGGATTATTTCTTCTTTGCTGTTGTTAATTCTTGCCTGAGGATGTTTTTCCATTGATTTTTTGGTAAGAGTGGAAAAGATGGGGCAAAATAAACATCAATATGGGAGAAACACATCAATTGGTTGTCTTCCACACACACTCCGACCAGGAGTCTGCAACCAAGGTACATGCTCTTTTAAAAAAAAAAAATACATTTTATTAATTTTTCACAGAAAGGAAGGGAGAGGGATAGAGAGCTAGAAACATCGATGAGAGAGATACATCAATCAGCTGCCTCCTGCACCCCCCTCCCCCCCTACAGGGGATGTGCCCGCAACCAATGTACATGCCCTTGACCTTTCAGTCCTCAGGCCAATGCTCTATCCACTGAGCCAAACTGGCTAGGAATCCTCATAATAACTTTCAAAAGGCAGGTATCATTATTATCCTTGGTTTATATCTGGGGAAAGTTCAGAGAGGATAGGAGATATACAAACTGGTTCCTGTCCCAATGTAGACAGGCAGATAAAAGCCACTGGCTCTGAATCCTGTGTTTATTTAGAAACATTTGTGACTTTCTTTCAAAAATTTCCCCAGAACTCGCAAGAAACGCCTGGAGCCCTAGTAAACAATTTCTAAGATTTAGGGAGAGTCAAAGAGGAACAACCGATTAAAAAATATTTTTTGCTTTGAAAATGTAACATATACACACGTTTCAAATAACAAAACAAACTTGTATAGGGAGAAAATCAAGTCTTCCATCCCAGTTCCTAATGCCCCTCCCCAGAGGCAATAACCGATTTCTGTGGATCTTTCCAGAGACACTATTGTTAATAAAAAAAAACCCCACATTGAGCCGAAGCCGGTTTGGCTCAGTGGTAGAGCGTCGGTCTGCGGACTGAAAGGTCCCGGGTTTGATTCTGGTCAAGGGCATGTACCTTGGTTGCGGGCACATCCCCCATAGGGGGTGTGCA